TGTTAATCGTTTCGGTAGCTCAATATTCAGCATGTTTTTAGTGGCCTGAAATGCAAAATGAGCATTTTCTGCATTCTGCACTAACTTTTAAAGTGGGCAGAAAAGAGATTCACGCACAACTGCAAAGCTGATAACGCAAAGTCTGTATTTTTAGCCAAAAAAATCATTTTTTTGCCACTTAATCCAAGAAAGTTTCAAATGCCAAAATATAGAAGGTTCCTTATGTTCTTCCTAAGAACTGAAAGCTATCATCAAAACTGAACATGTTTTTGTACATCTTGGAACAGTGAAATAAATGCAATCATTAAAAGCATGTGTACTAAAATTCTAAAGAACGTTTAGCTGCATAGAATATTTGAATGAGCACTAAAAAGCCAATTTTACCTAGAAGAACATAAAAAAATAAATGATGTCTCAAATTAAAATGAAAAATAAAAAAAAGGAAAAATAGTTTAATAACTGTCTAAATATTTGCATTAAAAATAAAATTTTTAGGAAAATTCTCCTCAATCTTTGAAAGAAAACCTAGTTACTTTTCAGTCTGAAACAAGTTTTCTAGCCAAAGGAAAATGGAAGTTTGTAGTAGGATTCATAAAGGGTCTGATTGCAATCGTAATGAAAGAAAAAGTATCAGCTCTTGATAATAGTAGGAAAATTATGTTAACAGCTCCATAAAAGCAGCCTAATATTAAGTAATGGTTAGGTAATGTTGAGCAGTCTGTTTAGTATTCAGAAAAGTTAACATCTTCCTTCCCTAAGTGCAAGCACAATTATCTCCCCACTGATTGTAGGAACATCTGACTGTGTATGTGTTCATTCCTCTATAACGATTATGGACAACATAGGGACAAAAATGCTAAAGACTAAGGGGAGAGAGAGCTCATCATAGATTAAAATGCCTTCTCTTCATTTCATTAAATGCCTTTGTATTCTAGAACCTTAGCTTTTCCCATTGCTTTTGCTCAGTGTTTGTATCTCAGCACCATAAACTGCCCATCCCATTGCTGATGACTTTCAAGTGAGAATCACTGAGTTACCATCTAAGTTTTGTGATTTGCTGAAATTTGATGATGACTGGTGGTAACTGCATTGAGGACTTTGTGTTCCCAATCCTCCTGTTTGTATTGGCCATGGGAGAAAAACATACAGTGCATCTACACTGCAATTACTGTGGTGAATTCAGTTTGTGTAAAATACTCTGCCTAGGTTTAGCCTACCTGTGTTGGTTATTGGTAGATGCAAAGGCATGGCAGCACAGAATCTGCTCAGGCCCCAAAGTCTGCCTGAAAATGTAATAAAGGTTTCAGCAGTTAGTTCAGCTGTCCTTCTACCATTGTGTCACTAGGAACATCCAAACTGGGTGATGTAAAACTGCCTTAATTGTTTATCTACATGAGCTGCAGTGAATTCAGTGTAGATGTTTCTGTAATCACTAATTCTTGAGCAGATCTGGTATTGTTTTCCTTTTCCAAATAGTTTCCAATGGCTAGATAGCTTTTGAGCCACTTACAAAGCATTTAGCTGTGGCAGTACCTCTCAGACAGCTGGTGGAAATACAAACTTCAGTAGTAATTTTACTGTCTCTACATTTTTCCTCCTCCATCTCATTCTGGGCTGCTAAACATCTGCAAAGTGGATGCACCAATATACCTTGGGGGCTCCTGAGCTGGAAAGCAGCTTGGCAGAAAAGGTCTGGGGATCCTGGTGGACGTTAAGCTGAACGTGAGCCAGCAAGGTGCCCTTGTGGCAAAGAAGGCCAATGGTATCTTGGGCTGCATATTAGACAAAGTATTGCCAGCAGGTCGAGGGAGGTGATCCTTCCCCTCTACTCAGCCCTGGTGAGGCCACACCTGGAGTGCTGTGTCCAGTTCTGGGCTCCTTGGTACAATGGAGACATGGACATACTGGAGAGAGTCCAACGAAAGGCCACAAGGATGATTAACTCGGTTGGAGCATCTCTGCTACGAGGAAAGGCTGAGAGAGCTGGAACTGTTCAGCCTAGAGAAGAAAAGGCTCAGAGGGGATCTCACCAATGTGCACAAATATCTGAAGGGAGGGTGCAAAGAAGACAGAGCTAGACTCTTTTCAGTGATGCCCAGTGACAGGACCAGAGGCAATGGGCACCAACTGAAACATGTGAGGTTCCCTCTGAACATCAGGAAACACTTCTTCACTGTGAGGGTGACCAAGCACTGGCACAGGTTTCCCAGAGAGGTTTTGGAGTCTCCCTCTTTGGAGATACTCAGAAGCTGTCTGGACACCATCCTGGGGAAGTGGCTGTAGGTGTCCCTGCTTGAGTGGGGAGGTTGGACCAGATGACTTCCAGAGGTGCCTTCCAACCTCAACCATTCTGTGATTCTGTGATCTTCCATTTTATTGTGTTTTTACACCACTGCAGAAGCTATACCTGCTCCATCTCTTACAAATAGCAAGAGAGTAAAGGTGTTTCTTCCTGGCACAATTCAGTGTTGTGCAGACACCTGAGATGGCTCAGAAAGAGCACAGTGTGCTTTTAGTGATCCATGCTCAGGCAGGACATCTGTGCCTTGAGTATGGATTGGATACGTACGCTCAGCTGGGCTTACCAGTTCCCGTTTCCTCTGTATCCAAAGTAGTTCAGCTGAGCATTTGCCTCTGTATCTGCTCCCTAGTGCTGTGGATCCCAGGAAGTTTCTTAGTCTGGTTGCAGTCTTGTGCAGCCTTTTTGCTGCTGTGCAGGTCCGAATAAGCCTTCCCACATTGGAGATGCTTATGAGAAGACCTTTTGGTGGTCTTTAGGAGCCAGGCCCAGCGTAGTCAGAGGTAATGAACCCCAGTCTGATGTCTGCTGTTGATTGGGATGGCTCTTCTCAGTGCTTCAGTCCTTGGAGGGCTTTGTAGCATAGGACTGGGCTGTAGCAAAGCTAGTAAGTCACACTTGTGCAGTACTGGCCAGTGGAGTTCATGCACCCGCTGGTTATGGGGGAGTCAGCACAGCCCTGGCAGGGGCAACACAGGCATTGTGGAAAAGGTATTTAATATCTCTTCACTGAGTCCCTGGTCTGTGTTATCCATGTTTTTTCCATTATTGAGCATCTCACAGCCTCCCATTCCCTGAAAGTAGAGAGTTAGCTATATCAGAATGGTGTTCTCCTTGTCCTGAGTGAATAAGAATGTCTGTATTTTGCAGTTCAGCATCTAAGATTACTCACGTTTCTCCCTGAGTGCTAAAGATGACTATTAACAGTGTTGTGAAATTGAAAGGATCCAAAATTGCTCCTGTTTTTTTGTGAGACCCCAGTTCTACTCCTGCTAGGTGTTTCACCTGGAGCTTTGTGATGGGTTGACCCTGGCTGGATGCCAGGTGCCCACCAAAGCTGTTCTATCACTCCCCCATCCTCAGATGGACAGGGGAGAGAGAAATATAACAAAAAGCTTGCGGGTCGAGATAAGGACAGGAGAGATCATTCACTAATTACCGTCACGGGCAAAACAGACTCAATTTGGGAAAATTAACTCAATTTATTACAAATCAACCAGAGTAAGGTAATAAGAAATAAAACGAAATCTCAGAACACCTTCCCTCCACCCCTCCCTTCTTCCTGGGCACAACTTCACTCCTGGATTTCTCCACCAAGCCCCCCCAGCAGCACAAGGGGGACAGGGATGGGGTTTACGGTCATTACACGTTATTTTTCTGCCGCTTCACCTCCTCAGGGGGAGGGCTTATCACACTCTTCCCCTGCTCCAGCGTGGGGTCCCACCCACGGGAGACAGTCCTCCACGAACTTTCTCCAACGTGGGCCATTCCCATGGGCTGCAGTTCTTCACGAACTGCTCCAGCATGGGTCCTTTCCACGGCGTGCAGTCCTTCAGGAGCACACTGCTCCAGCGTGGGTCCCCCCCGGGGTCACAAGTCCTGCCAGAAACCCTGCTCCGTGGGCTCCTCTCTCCACAGATCCGCAGGTCCTGCCAGGAGCCTGCTCCAGCGCAGGGTTCCCACAGGGTCACAGGCTCCTTTGGGCAGCCACCTGCTCCGGCGTGGGGTCCTCCCCGGGCTGCAGGTGGATATCTGCTCCACCATGGACCTCCCTGGACTGCAGGGGGACAGCCTGCCTCACCCCTCACCATGGGCTTCCCCACAGGCTGCAGGGGAAGCCCTGCTCTGGCGCCTGGAGCACCTCCTCCCCCTCCTTCTTCACTGACTTTTGTGTCTGCAGGGTTGTTTCTCTTACATGTTCTCACTCCTCTCTCCGGTGGCTGTTTTCCGCGTCCCAACTTTTTTTTTTCCTTCTTAAAAATGTTATCACAGAGGCGTTACCACTATCGCTGATTGGCTCGGCCTTGGCTGGTGGTGGGTCCATCTTAGAGCCAGCTGGTATGGGCTCGCTCTCTCTCGAACACAGGGGAAGCTTCCAGCAGCTTCTTACAGGAGCCACCCCTGTAACCCCCCCCGCTATCAAAACCTTGCCACACAAAACCAATACAAGCTTTATACTATATAATGCCAGCAAATTGAATTGTGAATATAAAATTCCTAGTGCTAAAATGGAAATCTGTTTTTGGCAGGGTTTGTTGGGTAAGTATGAAGCTAAAATACAAAATTTATGTTTAAGAAAAACTGGGTGCTATAAACGGATAAACTGCTTCCTCAATTGCTTGAAAAAAAAAAGTACCTTGTGATTTACCAACACCTTCCACTGCAGAGCAGACTTGGTGTGTTTGGGATTTTCCATTAGCCTTCTTAAGGTAAACTTCTGATTTATCTAACTGAAGAACAGTAAAAGGCTTCTCAGCAAAGTGCAGTACTGGGGCAAGCATATTTATCAAGGCACAACCGTGTCACTGTTCTATGCTCTGTGTTGAAAAGGAAAACGTTGTATGTGCTTTACAAGTAAGGAATGTGAGCTGATTTTTCTCTTCTCATTATGGGCTTGGTCTGTGTTCCACATGGACTTTGAAGCCCGGATCGTTACTGTGCACTTAAGAATATGTAACTTGCTATTATCTTTTGCTTGTAGGTGTTTTATATCTTCAGTATGGAGATGAAACAAAGCAGTTGAGGATGCCGAATGAAATCACAAGCACAGACACAATTCGTGCCCTTTTTGTAAGTGCCTTCCCCCAGCAGCTGACAATGAAAATGCTGGAATCACCCAGTGTGGCCATTTACATCAAGGATGAGAGCAGAAACATATACTATGAATTGTGTGATGTGAGGTAAGTAAACACAGAATTACAGCTGTTGGTTTTTTGTTTGTTTTTTTGGTTTTTGGGTTTTTTTGTAGTACACTTACAGAATAAAAAGGAGTGGAGTTGATAAGTATCTGACAGATAGTGGCCTGACACATAAAGGCATGTTCAGTGGTATCTGACTAATATGGGAGGTCTGGTCTGACACTGCCTTCAGCTGTAGGTGCAATATCTGCTGCACAAGCCATTGATAAATGGCATACCTTGTTCAAATATTCATATAATACATGCAAGTTCACATATTTAATATTTTATTGAATTTTAACTGAGACATAAATATTTAAAATATGCAGCACAAAATAAACATTTACTGAAAAACTGTTTTTTTCTTTGCTGGTAGTGCAAAGCCTGATCCTTGTGAGCTTAAAGTTACAAATATGAATGTCACCAATGTCCTCACAACAGTGCCAGTTCTGCATCATCTAACACTGCCAAAGGTCTGTGGCACTGGTGACTGCTGCTGCAGCAGCCCCACCACCTTCCTGTTTTATGTCAGGATGCAGCAACTAATGCAGTCACTTCCCTTCACTGATTCAGAACTTGGTCAATAAATGATCTGACTAACATCTGGGTGCACCTTTCCATCCTTTATTTCGAGGGAGTGCAGCTGCATAATAAATCATATTCCTTCAGTCCTGATGTCTGTGCACTTCGAGCAGAAGGACCAGGTTCTCAAGGTCCCTAGAAAGTCCCAAATCACGCAGCAACAAAGCTCTCAAGCACACGTCAGACATGTTACACTCTGTAAAGCTGTGCAGGGAAATATGGCGGGCCTTTGTGTCATCCTTTTCATAGGAAGTTACATGTTAAAAAGAATGGACGGAGGAGCATAACAAGATGAAGGAGAAAGCAGAAAAGGTGTTTCCTCTCTGCCAGTCTGCCACTAGTGCAGGGAAATGATGTGAAAGTAAGAGAAGTGTACTGTCCACTGCTGCCTTGTTTCTTCTGGAGATCCTGTGGCTCAGGTGTTTCTCCATATCACGTTGTAGTTAAAAGAGCAAGTTGGAGCTTTTCTAGCCTTGCCGCTTCCAATTCCCCCATTCCTCTTCTTAGTCTTTGAACAGCACTGCAGTCCATTTTCTCACCTCTGTCTTGCTCTCCTCAGGCTGTCTATCCAGTGTCTTGTCATTAGCCAGCCTCATGGACTTCACTTTCTGGTTTGTTTTTTATTTAATCTTCCTGGCTTTACAGACTCCCACACCCCTGTTTGGCCACTGTAATGCTTATGTTAAGACCCATCTGATTTTTTGCATCATCATCATTCATCATGTATTCAAGTTTCTTATACATCAAACAGTCTATTCACAAGATCGGATCAACCAATTAATTCAAGATAGGGCTTACTATGTCTCTGTTGCCAGGTGCATTATTGCCAACCATCATCTGGCCTATTGGCTCCTTTTCTCTCACTTTATCCCTCCATCTTCCCTCAAGTTTCAGACTAACAGTTTATGACTTCATCTCCTCCCTGCTCCTGAGAATGTGGTTGTTGATTATCTTAATACCACACCACCTTTTTTTCCCTTGCTCCCATTGCAGGTGTCGCTCTGCCAACCTCAGGCCTGGCTCGGTCCCAACATCTGCTTCCTCTGTTCCTATGCCTGTATTGTAGAGCATTTCTACAGGAAATCCCACAACCCAGCTGACTTCCTCCATAACAAAATTCCCTCCTTCAGTTCTGCCACCCTCCTCACTAAGGAAACCTCAGCAATTCCAGCTTAATGGAGTCCAAAGCATGCACTACCAGCTGCATTTTCACCACCTTTGAATAATTTCCACAACAATTTCTCCATTTCTGTTCCTTACTCTTCACAAGGTCTTGCCAGTGTCGTCCCTCAGAGAACAGATGAAATGAAGTATCATTTTTCTGTCCTTTGCTTGCTGTGTCTTCCTTCAATTCTCTTCTTTCTTCCTTGTCTTAAATACAGGTGTTTCAGTCAACTCTTTAAGCTCGCCACCTCCCTCAGAGGCTGTCTCACATTCCTCTGTGCCTTGCATCCCTTGCTTTGTTTTTTTATTAATTTATTGCTCTATTAAAGTGCCTACTCTTACATTGCAAACATGTTTCTGTGCCTCCCAACAAAACTGTCCCTGAACACAACATACATTTCCACTTCCCACCCCATCACCTTTTTCTCTTGCGCTGAGCAGTCACTACAACTGTTGACTGGAGTTTTACTCTTCTAATTCTGTCCTAGACCCATTTCCAACTTGTCTGGGGTTTTATTCTTCTAATTCCAACTTGTCTTTTGTTCCCTACTGTTCCATTGCAGCTGTCAAAGTCACCAAATGGCCAGCTTCTGTGAACTCCTTTTTTCTCTCGGATGTCTCATGTACTGACAGTGTTTTCTTCTTGAAACTTTTATCTCCCTTTGTATCAATGGCTGGTCTTTCCTGATTTCTTCCTGTCTCTCTCCTCTCCTTTCAGGTACCACATGAGATGTCCTCTTCTCAAACATTGATTTTCTGTTGTGTTTTTTCAGGGCTTTGTCCTCCGTCCTTTTCCTTGTCTTTACCTGTCTCCATCATCTTATCCCTATGGATTAGTTGAATTATCAACTACCTGGTTGAATCTTCCATTTATTTTTCTGTCTCTCCTGTAGGATGGGATTCATCTGACCAAATGGAGATTTTTACATCCACATTTTGAGCTGGTTGTGATTAATCCTATAACATTGTCTGATAAATTATACATGCTAGAGAACCTAGCTGTTGATGTCTTCCCTGTGAATGCATGTAGTCGGATGACATGAATCCTACCTCTTCTGTCCAAACTAAAATCTTGATCTGCTCTTTTAATATAGTCTCATGGGTCGTTAGTTTCAGCCTAGCTTATGTTGTCCTTCATTAGGCTATCATATTCCTTCCCCTTGTCTGTCTTTTTTTTTTTTTTAATCACTGGGGACAAAGCACTATCTTTCTACTTAAGCCCCTAACCTGGTCCTTTTCTTAAAGTGGTTCAGGGCTCTGCATCCAGTGTAGTTTTCAGGTTTTTTCTGCATAACGTCCCTATGATGCAGCCTTTCCTTTCCCACCACGTAGTGAAAAAACACTCGGCTAATTCATCAGCTCTTTAATAGCAACTGCTGTAATGGTCTTTTCTTGGCAGTTAACACAGGTAATCTGGTTCACTCTTACCCATTCAAATGAAGCAACAAAGATCATTCTCCTAGTTTGACAAGCAGGCTGTTTCACATGCTTTTTTTTCATTTGTCCTCTGACTGTATCTTTTCCATCTCATTAAATATAAACTACTTGTCTTCATTATGAGGGCTCCTCCAAGCCCACTTCAACACTACTTTTCACTTCTTGTTCAGTACCAAGTGCCATCTGCTTCCACTTAGTGAATAATGGCAACTTTCATTCTACATGTCTTTAATTTTCAAACAAGTGCCTTCACGCTCGTTCTCGGGCAGTCCTCTAACATGCTTGGAAGGCGTCCTCTGCAGACATCCGCAAAGCCACTGTGTTGGTCTCCTTCCCGCTCTCTCTGTTGCGCTGCCTACTCCGAGCATGCCTGTGGTCCCAGGATCTGCTTATTGCTCCTCTGGCTTGAGAGACTATGGTGTTCTCATTTCTTTTTGTTCCCTTATCTTTCTGCAGCTATCCTGTTGTCTTTTGTGTCTTCTATTCATGTTGTAAGCTGGTGAAGAGGTTGTATTCCTGGGGTGTTTATACAGCACACACAGATCAATGAGGCCTTTGAACATGCCAGGGGCATCTGGGAGCTACAGTAGTGCAAATAATAGTAATAATAAAAGTACAGTAATATATACCTGTTATCAGTAATGTTTATCTTTGAATAGCAACATGAGGTGAAATAGAATTCACTTCAGAGATCAAATGCCGAGTATTCTGGTGCTTTGCCTTGCAGCAATGTTTTACTTTAAAGTATCATGTTTCTACAAGAAATATTTACAGAGAACGCTTTTAAAGTTAGTTGAGGTACCATCTCATAGCCATCAAACAGAAAAGGCAGCAGATAAAATTTATTTAAATTAATAATATACTGTTTCTTGTACTGAAGATGAGAGAGCTTGCTTTGTATCGAAAAGAACACATTTCCAAGTCTGAGGCAGAAAATGGTAACTGAGACTCCCAGTGCAAGTCTCAAAGCAAAAGGGTCATGTCTGCAAGATGGAAAACAGTTTATGTTACCATAAATAATTGAAGAACTTGAACTTGCTGCAAGGTAGCTATTTTCCTATGCAGTCTACAAGTAAACACTCATAAATACTAAACTTCTCATCAGCCAGTTCTTAAACAGAAGGCACTGATCTGTCTCTTAAGCTGTGGCGTGTCTTTAATAACTACTTGACATCTACAACAGCAGCACACGTTCTGACTAGCTACCCATTCAAAGCAATCACTGATTGTAATATGACATTGTAAGAAAGAAATTGGACCTGCCCAAGAATCCTTTCCTTCATTTTTAAATGATAATACCAGTGATTACGATCGGTTCACTAGACTTGTAGCTGCACCTGGAGGAAAGGAATTCAGTCACATGCGTAAGTAAATTCTCTAGAGACCACTACTGGGAAATGAAAGGAATTGTAGCTTTGAAAGGACATAAGTGAGCGTAGATTGGAGGCTTTGCGACTGATTAAATGTGAACAAGAAATCAGCAGAACTCAGTGCAAGTGTCTAAGACATAAAATTATTGGAAGGTAGGTTTTGAAACAGAAAACTGCTGTCATCTAACTCTTTTGTAAATGTAGTCGTTGAAAAATGAACTAATCAATGACAAAGTGTTGGGTCCTAATTAAACAAAAATATTCTCTTAAGGCTTTCCATCTAAACCATTTCTGTGGTAGCGTTCATCAAAACTTTTGCATGTTTATTTGTTTTTGTAATTCGTATTTTTTCCCGAAAAAAACCTGTCTTTATTATAGATAAAGTTTAGAGGAAGGATTTATCTGCTACTGAATTTTGAGCTTTTGTGGATTTTTTTTCAGGTTTGTGAACAAA